CAGTGGTAAAACTGGGCAAACTTGCCTCATTCCTGATCTGAGGGAGAAAGCTTTCAGGCACTCACCATTAAGTAACATGTTAGCTGTGGGTATAAATCGCTAATATTTTATGCTACACAGGAAAGTCACTGAGTCTCCTGTAGTAAATCAGGTTTGTCCCCAGAGCAGTGCTACTATGGACAAATGGTAAATTCCTTGGTCAAAGGAAATTTTTAGGGTACTGGTAAAGTTCTGTTTCTTGGCCTGGGTGCTAGATGTACAGGTGTGTTCTGTTTGCAAAAATTCTTCATGTTAGATACTTATGACTTTTCTACATGTTAGATATATTTCAATAAAAAGTCTACAGGAAAAAGAAGTACCCCAGACACTAGACTTCCACTGAGAAGTTAAGAAAGACTCTGTTGAAAGATGGTAGAATCTGTGAAGCATTTCTGTTCCTCCCATTTTTCTTATTTGAAACAATTTTGTCACAACTTCAAGCTGACTTTAATCATGTGATTTTTCCATCCTGTGATCACCAAATTTAAACACTTACACTAGGCATAATGTTGGTTATTTATCTTATATGAGTTAACCCCCAAATGGTGGGAGAAAAGGAGGTGAAAGTGGCTTTAATAACTGAGTTTAATCTAGCGCTCCAAGTCCTCATTCTTATTTCAGTTATATAAAAAAGATACTAAGTACCATTCAGTTACACTGTATTTACAAAATGTATCAGAAGTCAATTTATTTGCAACTTAATGCTACAAACAGGTTCTTCTGACTTTCCTAAATATTTACAAGGCATTTTCAAATGAACAGTTAATCATTAACGTGTGTTAATCCCTACCTTCTTAACTTCATATGAATGTCTTAGGAAGGAAAATGTTGTGGGGGACTGCTCAGGGATACCTGAACTAAACAGAAATGTGACTAGCATCTCACATTTCCCCAATATCCCAAATGACAAACTTTTATCGATTAAAAAATATTGTAAAAATCACCACTCAAACAAAAAGAAAGCATATTTATTCAGCCGAACAGTTTACCTAAAACTTCTTTTTCACCAGCGTGGTTTGCTGCCATCTTGGATAACTGCAACAAGCCGACAACCAGCTTCACCATCACGCCATCCCGCGGGTTATCTGGAAGCAGTTTTGGAAAAAATCAGCTTACGCTATAGCAGAGACAACACTTTTCTCTATAACGTGTTCATATATTAAATTATATGACTAGAAAACTTACGAAGTTTTTTAGAAAAGATTTTAAATCATGAGCACCTCAAAAATATGAAATGAATGAACGTATTTGAACATCCTTCTGAAACAGAATCATGTAAAAGTAAGCAGCCACATTTGGCAGACAGAGAAAAACGTCTTAACAAGTTATGCAGAAAAATCAGTATCTTAGAAAAAATCACAGTTAGAAACACAGAAATCACTCAACATTAAGCTAGAAGGAACCTTGGGAGCATGCTTGGATTTTTAGCCTTTAGCATTTAGAATGGACCAGCACTGTCCAACAGAACTTCCTGAAATGATGAAAATGTTCTATAATCTGTGCTGTCCAAAGACAGCCACAAGCCACGTTACTCCTGAGAACTTGACATGTGCTAGCACAACAAAGAAACCAAACTTACAATTTTATTGAATTCGAATTCATTTAAATCTAAATAGCTACACACATCTATTAGCTGTATTGGTCTAGATGAACAAAATACTCAAACACACAAGAACAAAAGATGGAAAGAGGGTTTCATGTTTTATGTATATATATATCTCCGAAAAAAACGCACTAGAAATTTGGGAGTTCAGAGAGTCAAAATAAAATTAATTTTTAAAAGTACTGAGGATAAAAATAACACAATAGAGACATGAAGTTAATGGGCACATAAAGATAAAAATCAAAACATAAGTAGAAAAAATTTCCACCACATGCAGTACTATAATAACCTAAACTCAAATCAAATCAACATAAAATGGATGTTTTCTTAGGTAAAAAAAAAAGCTAGAAACACATACAAATACGCATATATATACGTAAAACACACATATATACATACGCACAACACACAAACAGGGATAAGATGCTTAAAATGAAACATGTTTCTTTTATTTAAATAAGTTGGAA